CTATTAAATAAATCAACCTAATATCTTCATGTATATAGGTATTATCGTGGCAAAATTTCTGACTCAACATAAAAGGTACGTGGTAAAACCCCGGCTTATCTTAAAATTTTATATATTGTTAGATGGCTTAAAAACGTACCTGTTCAAAAGTAAACGTATGCGCTAACGTACCTTGGCCTGTCCAAGATCTCCACAATACCTGTATTGTGGAGATCGCATAACCGTTTCTTCTTGCGCGTTTTGCAGCTGACCGTTACCGAATATATTCAAATTATGTTTCTCTTACCTATATAGATTTTAAGACATTTGACTGCAGTCAACCCGTGACCATGGAGCGTGCAACCGTTCCGAAATATCGGGAAAATAAAAAAAGTCGTACCGTGGTAAGAAACCTGATATTAGTAATAATCTCTTACCTATCGTTTTTTAATCCCCAACGGGAAAAGAGGGAATTATAATTTTGAAGCCTTTGCTATGTATTATGTCTGTGACATCATATGGAATGGACTGGATCTCAAAGTAGTTTTTTTTTACCTGAAGACAATCTAGCAGTCGAGCTCCTTGTGAAAGAGTTCATCCAGGAAAATACTGCCTCCTCACCTATTAAGCGGTAATATGAGCATACTGCGTTCTAGTCATTTTATATTTCAGGCTAATGGGTGCAATAGCAGTGCCCCTTGGATCTTAGCGCTTTAAAAATCTGAGTGGCACTGTAACTGCTAAGGACAGGCATATCGCTTATCACCAGGTACACGATTTGTTCACCCCGTCATTTGATATCATAAAAAAAAATAGTAAATATATTTTCAGTACTCAACCTGAAGTTTTGAAAGTAACACGGTCACGACAGTATTACAACAACCTATTTATTGTTTAATAAATAATAAGTTTACATAGAAGTTAATAATAGTTATACAAAATGGGAAAGTTAAAAATCTATAAAGTTAACACTAAATTGTTTGCCTCGGGGTAGTTTAACTTTGTAATAGAATTTAGCCTATGCATTACTTAAAAATACCGCAATTAAAACCAAAATAACCTTCAAGAAATAACATATAGTAACACGCGTTAATTACTACCAATTACGAACAATAATTTCTAAAGCTAAATACATAGCACTGGTCGAATAATTGAAATAATGGCTAACTAGGTCGGCCACGTGCCGACATAGGCTTTGGTTTTCAGTCGTGAATCAGAATTTAGTAATAATATTTTGCAATCCGATACGCGTGTCGCAGAGATTATAGAGCATATTTGCAGTAAGTCGAGTTTATTTTAGTAGACTTCAAAGAAACTAATAGGGATTGAAACAATGGGAAAAAGCTTTTTTATGGTGTATAGTGCAGACGAATAACACGCCACTGCTGCCATCACTCTGAGATATAAAGTTGACAAGACCCTTCAAAACCGGAACGTCGTGGCACGAACGAATTCTTTCCAAAGGAACTTTTTATATCAGTAGAACTCCGTGTGATATTAAATGAATTGTGAATTTTGATAGAGTTCGTCCAGGGAAGTACTGCCACCTTACCTATTTCTGCCGCCGAGCAGTAATGAGCATTACTGTGTTCCGGTTTTGAAGGGTAAGGGTGCTGATGAAATTACTAGAACATGGGACTTATCAACTTACGCGTATGTCTGTCTCAGAGTGACGGGCGCTTTGGTAGTGCTTTTCAGATATTTGCGATTTAAAGCTCTGAGCGTCACTGCAACGGATATGAATATGCGTGTCCCTTACCGCCAGGCGTATGATTTGTTCGTCCCATCACCGGATATAAAAAAAAACAATTTTTAATACAACGATCGAACACTTATAAAAAATTCCTTCGATCCAGTCGGATTCGAACCGACGTCTTCTTTGAAACCGTGTTAGGCGCTATGCCAACTAAGCCATGGAACGAACCAGCTGACCTCACAAATTTTTCTATGTGCTAGTTGTCAGATCTTTGTATTTGGTTTTCATCGACTTTTTAGCCATAGCGCGATCTACGAGAAACAAAGTATTTCGTCGTCCAGTTAGGTACCTTTACAGTTAGTTACCAGCCCTGCCTGGAGATGTTGCTTTTAACTGTAATTAATTTTTTTTATTGAATGTCACAATATTTAACCACCATGATATTCAATTATTTTTTGATTTTCAGAATGTTAAACCGATATGACAGTAAGTGTGTGAATGAATGCATTTAATATTTTTATAGAACGGTTGTTCTCGTTTTAAAATGATATTATAATCGAAGATAAGAAGTCTTCATGAAGATTCCACAAGTGGCGGAAGAGACAAATAGCGTCACTAGCGAGTCCGTAACCACGGCCAGTGCAAATTGGTTGTAACATTGGGATAATAGATAGAATAGTAGTGCAGATATCAACTCCATTTTATCGCGTTTATCCCCGTTTGTAAAGCCACTACTATAAATTTAGTGCCGAGCACCACCATTAGATGGCATTACTTGAATCTTGAAACACGCAAGCAAAGTGTTAAGATAATTCGTATAAGACTGGTGAGGTGTTTCGAATATGTTGAGTCAACTACCCTGACGACCCTATCACTCTCGCCACTTTGAAGGCCAACCAGATCGCACATCAGTCCTCCATCTCCACACGGACCAATCGTCCTCGCCGGCGAGGTCGTAGAGCCCCTCATTTCAGCACGTACACTGGCAGGTTCTCTCCATAAGCACGTCCTTCTGGTGGAAGTCTTTAATAGCGCCCTGAGCCGAGGTCCGCCCCTACTTGGGCGCCCTCAGGCCCGTTATTTAGCTTTAAGTTTATTTTACGGGTTATGAGCCTTCAGCTCGCCCTTTTCTTCCGGTGGCGCAGTCAAGGCCATCAGCGGTCAACTGCAAAGTGTACTTAAAAAAAAAGGATGGATGGAGGAAGGATGTTGACGGAATCGGAATCTAGTGTAGCACGCTACTGCTTCCACCTTTGTGGGACAGCTGGTTGAAAACATTCATAACCACCTGTTAATTTCTGCTTCTATCCACCTTGTGAGACGGTTGTCTATCAAATACAGTCGTAACGTTATTTTCTTGTGCAATAAACCTTACTGGAACAATTTGTCAGTGGATTCCTTCCTCAACACGCCTGTTCTGCACGACAATACTACAGTTTTATAATACATATTTCTATCTTCTAAAACCTGTTCCCTTACACGCAAGTGTTTACAGCTGCAGTTTAACAGTTCCGCAGCATTACAAAATTATTTTAACTACCTGTAATACTGTATTCAGATAATAAATATACTGCTCACCCAACTGCAACATTTATAAATTGTCTTAGCACACTTTAGCACAAAGTAGAAATATCAACACGTATTCTGTCTAGGACATTAGGTACAAAGCTACAATAGACGCTTGTCTATGACATTTTCAGACACTAAAACAAAACACGACTATGTCATTTATGTCAAAAATGATGATGATCATGGAAATGATTGCAACAATGTCCAATATCGCCAAGAAACACACAGCAAACATCAGCTTTCAAATAAAAACCCAATCAAAACGGAATAAAGAAAAGCAATATCCCATCAAACAACAAAATGAATAAGTACTATTGGTTATTAATATTAACATAAATAAATAAATATTAAACAACATCACACACGTTGCTCTGATCCCAAAGCAAGTAGCTAAAGCACTTGTGTTATGAAATCAGAAACAACGACGGTATCACACACACCCAGAGCCGAGACAATATAGAAAAGTTCATTTTCTACACTGACCCGGCCGGGGATCGAACCCATGAAAACCGGTGTGCAAGCCACTCGACCACGGAAGCCGTCAATAATTGATACAAAGATCAAACAAACAAAGAAAAATTCCTACGATCCGACTGGCCTCGAAGGTCTATCGCCTCAACGTGGCTACCGCTTTGCCAATTGAGTTACGGATCGAGCCAGCAGATCCTATGAATTTCTCTATGCGCTTGTAGTGTAGTATAGGTATAATGTGAGTATTTTCCTAAAAAAAGATGAATATAGTGTTACAAAAAACATCACGGTATTCAGTAAAAATAAAATAGTTGTTATGGTATTGGTTGTTGTGCTTGATAGTCAGTCTAAAATTAGATATACCTATAACTATAGTGCGTTTGACATAGCGATACACATTACACATTCAGTCGTACTTCCAACTGTTTTTGTAATGAGAGTTGGATACAACATAATCAATGCAATTAGTGAAACATTTTTGATTGAAAAAGATTGTGTTCTTTCGTAAGGACTTTGATCCTATTTTACTCCTGGGAGCTCGATGAACTTAACAAGTGTCATGTATCATGTAATCATTTCATTCACGTAATCAATTCACTACATCTCATTCATTTCATTCATTCATTCATCATAAGTTTATTTTTATTCTGTAACTTTTTTACTAATAGTAGAATAGATAGTTTGCAACTGTATTAACAAAATGGACTGTATATTGTCTGCAATATATATATATTTAAGTTGCTCTTAACTTTATCCTTTCTATTTTAGATTAATTCCACACACTTCTTTTTAACCGGTTAATGTTATTATTTTAGTTTTTTTTTAAATTACAAACAAGCCCTTAATAAGCTTGTCCGTAATATCACATGCTAAAATGTAAAGATTTCTACGAAAACGAGTCACGTTCACTTAGAAGATGTCTACTCACTTTGATCTTAAAGATATCCAGTTTTATCCAGAATTACAAAACTCTTCAAAGAATTTAACTTAAGAAGCAAAACAATTAGAACGTGGAAGAATATCTACCATACAGTTTATTATTTCCTTTACCAAGTCTTGTTTAGGGTAACCTATCACAAAATCAATTTTTTTTTCCCAAATAACGTTTGTTCGAATGTTCATTACACCGAAAACCGAAAATAACGACACCGTTGTTCTTTCAGGATATGTTGGAAGTTTATCGCAACGACACGATAAGGTTCGATTAGATTAGGTTAAGTTAGATAAAAAAAAAGACATTTTTTTCAGCGGTATAAATATGTACAAAATATCTATGTCAACCTACCTCATGCCGTCGAATCCGTCATCGGACCCGTTGATAGTGAGCACCGGCGCCCGCGCATACGCCTTAGCTACTCGTCTGTTGCGCTCGAACACTATCACCTTTGCCCAGATCTCGTCGTCAATCTGTGTCCATTTGTCTAACACTTCTTGAATGTGTTCCTGGAATAAGAAATAAATATCATTAATTGCTATGTTTTGAAGTTCAGACTAAATAATCAGGCGGAAATATTCTTGTATGTCTAAACATATTTCAGAAGAAGAAGAAAACTGGGCTGTCGAAGGGATTAATATGGTTATTCTATTCGCCATTTCCAATTTGGGCGTCGAAAAATGTACGAAGGTAATTTATGTATATTTATGTATTACGTATTTTGACGGCCTCTGTGGTTGAGTGGTTTGCAAACTGGTTTTTATGATATCGCCATCTCTGAGGTCCCGGGTGCGATTGCCGGCCGGGTCAATGTAGAAATTAACTTTTCCGTATTGTCTTGGGTCTGGGTGTTTGTAAAGTGTGTCGTCGTCGTTTCCGATTTCCATAACACAAGTACTTTAACTGCTTATTTTGGAATCAGAACAACTTATGTGTGTTGTCCAATATAATATAATAGTTCTTGTTATAGAGTAACAATAATGATATTCCAAAGTGCAAGTCTTTGAGTTAACTACATTTGTTTTATAAGTAAATAAATGTATCCAGTTGCTGTTGCCAGCTTTCCATTTATTTCATGTTTGAGATGGATGAGGAACTCTAGTCAGACCAAAACAGTAAGTTTCTGAAGTGCACGACAGGAGTCTCCCCACGTACAATGGATAACAATCACCGATTACTTTAGGCCGATTAGCGAATGTTATGATTTTTTTCACCACGAGCAAGCATTTCATTGCAATACGATGAGAAGAAGAAGAATCAGTAAGTTCTCTTTCACGTAGATATTGGAACCGTTTTTGAATGTAACATGCCACGGAGGAAAGCGCAAAAAATGACAACTGCCCTTGTTAAGAGAACTTTCGCTAAAAATCACTCCGGAACTATCAATTAAGTCGTTAAGCGAGTAGAGTTTATAGACTCATAAATTAAATGTCAATTCCTCAACCTTCACGTGACCGGAACAAAATCTGACATTGAAAGAAAACTTTTTAATTTACCGTTGAAGTTACACTTTTCGACCTTGGTAACTGCACCGGCGTTGTTTTTTCGGCTTTTGTAAGAATTACTAAAGATTAGATATTAATCCTAGTGTGGCAACGTTGTCGCAACTAGATGACATCGGCCCCGGCGCAACCGTTTCCGCTCTAGTAACCGTCTTACTTTACATATGTGTTAATATATGCTGTGTGCTTGTACGACTGTCGATTTATTTTTTTTAGCTTTGCCTCTGACTATACGATGAGAACATTAAAAAAAATATTCAGAAATTACCAGTTATTGGTTGTTTTTTTGACAATAATATTTTTTATGTTAAGTGAAGATAATTAATTGTCTAATATTTCAAATTATTTGCATAAGTAAGATCTTTTTCGATTACATCCGTATGTGACTGTGAAAACAATAAAAAACTTTTAAATTTTTTGTATATCGGCCCAAAATCTTACTTATTAAGTTTTATAAATACGTATGCATTTTCAGTATTTTACATAATGGCAATACAGTGGAAGCAAAACCGCTAAAAAGATTAAACCGTGTAATAATGTTATACAACTAATAAAACATTAAGAACCATAATCTGTTAGAAGAAGTCTAACGTGACAATTTAGACGTCGAAATCTAAAAGTGAGATACCACGAGTCAGTCAGACACGCTGATTAGCATTACTGTTGATGAATGTACATTTGATATATTTATTGCTTAGATTCAGTACATTGTCACGTCAATCGAAGATATGTAGTGTATCATGATGTAGTCACTGAATTTAGAGTGAAGGCTGCCTGTTGTATAGAAGGTACGAGTGTGTGTGTGGAGGCTCATGACCGAAATGAGGGCGAGAACCTATATCTAAGAGGTATAATGAAGTTAGAAGATGTAAATTTGTGAAGCGGTGATACTCAATTTAAAGATATTAGAGAAGAATTATGTTAGATCTAATCAAAGAAACCTAGACATGATGACAGTTTACTGTCGCTATATATAGGTAAGCCTTTACCAAGAAGACACTTATTAAATGTGTGCATAATATTAGTGAAAACAATGCCAGGCTGAAAACTAACACTATAAAAATAGTTGTCAATAATACCGAAAACTATGGAGACAAGTAACTCTATCATATTTGAGTCGTGGTATTGTTAGCAAAACAATTTGTAAAACCAACGGTCTGTGTTACATTACCACAGTTTCTTTTTTGTGTTCAAAATAATATTCCTACTCAAGACCGTTTCACGGAGCAAAAACATAGTGATTGTTGTAACTGTGTTATTAGAGGTTATTGGAAGTATAATTAGTTGTATGTCACTGTTACGTTGAATTATGTTTTAATTAGTAGCCTGTTATAAATGATAATGGTTATTTAGCTATCAACGTTTAAATTATACTTCACAAATATGGAACACAAATCTTCATACCTTTATAAGATTTAATTTGACCTTTTAAGATAAATAAAAAGTCAATAAAACAACAAATAGCATCATACTTAATAATACAGGAAAGCAAAAAGTAAACAAATGCAAAACAAATTTTAAAAAAAATTGCGTATCGAAAGGTACAGTAACGGAATGAAACACTTTATAGGTGACTTATTCCCAGTCCCCATAATTACATCTTAACTTTTTTCCGCTTCCTTCACCCGATTACTTTCAGTTTTTCTAATTTGCCGTTTCAAACGAAAGCAAGATGATCACCGTTATTTCGATGCTAAACTAACCATAACTACGTAATGTTGGGTGTGGAATAGACTTTCAATTTCTTTTTTGCGTTTTACTGGCATTGTGGTTAATAAAAGTGAAACTTAATATTGCTTCTTAAGGTATATATATGCTAAATATCGGTTTATAGTTTCAAATAGTTAGATTATTAGGGCGCTTTCAAATTACACAGTTACAGAAGCGCTGCAGTCGCTCAACTACTAAGTTTCATACAATATTTAGAAGCGCAGTTGCAGTGCCACTGTCATGACAGGCGCCTAATGGTTGCCACTGTCGGTCAATTATGGCTGTCGCTCATATTAAATGAAGTCCTTTCACGTACACCATAACCTACATATGACAGTACAAAATCTGTAGTCGTTACATTTTGTTAATTGCTCAATTTTCATAATTGCATAATTCTTTTTATTTGGTTTTGTTTGTCTGTGTTATCAATTTTTGTTTTTTTTTTGTATCTATGTGTTGTGGCGTTGCAGTAAATGTCTATTCTATTCTATTATATATGGCAACCATTAGTTGTGCAATACGGAACGAGAAGTGAGCGTGACGACAGCTTCGGTACCTATCTGTAAAATAGGGAGGGTACTGTACGTGTACGGCTTCCCGTCCGGAAACCGTCCGGCTCACCCGAAACGTATCACTAGCCTCTTGAAACCCGGATGAAGTCAGTGACAAAGGTCAGTGACAACCCTGTACATTAGCTGTTATGATTCCCGTACACGCACAGGTTGTAGTGCCCTTCTCGTGTAGTATATCCTAAGGGTCGGTATCCCGGGTCACTATGATCAAAACTAATGTAGAAACGTATGGGGCTGTCACGACAAGCGCACGCCAGTGCTGTTTTTATAATATATAATAGACACACGCTTGGCCACAATCTCACCTGATGTTAAGCGACGATGTGACCAACGATGGGAGGCGTTTGTCTAAAAAATGCCTGTTCACTCTAGCGTTTAATAACCCCCAAATTGTACTTTTCAGGAAATACAGATGCCGGTAGAGCATTCCATCCCTTTGCCGTACGCATCAGAAAGGACGAAGCAAAGCGCTTAGTGCGAATTGGTGGAATATCAACGACATAAGAATGGAGTGCTCCGGACCTTCTAGTCGACCTACTTTTCTTATCACAATTAGTGAACTAATAATTACTGAAGCGCTATAGACGCGCGGCTGCTGCACCACTGAAGAGCTTTTATAAGCGTCTAATTTGAAGGCGCCCTTAAAAAACAACTGCTGCCCTTAAAGTCAACCATCTTCTAAGGTCAAGGTAATGAAAAATAAAAATAATAAAAATAAAGCGCACACACCAAGCCCCTCAAAGCCCTGTATCGCGGGTGCCATGGACACACACATAGACAACCACAAATTACACCCAAACTCACAAGAAAAACAAATGTAGGCCATAAAAATATTTCTACCGGCAAGGGAATCGAACCCGGGATCTCTGCGTGCCAGTTCGGCACGGTAACTGTTCGGCCACGAAGGCAGTTAAAAGCTAGAAGGTATAATATTATCGCAGGATGCCAATGTAGTTTACATAGTAATTTTCAAGAAGTATGAAGGAAGTACTTAAATCATTATTTATTGATTCAATTATATCCATAAAAATTGTAAGATCGTTTTTAGGTTTTGGTATGTTAAAAACCCGGCAAACAATTATGGCTGTCCACGTGACGGAAAGTGATAACTGGCGTCTGTACATATTTGCAGGAAAATTGAACTTTGGAATGTAAGGTCTTAAGTCTCCTGTGCCTGCGATTAAATTAAAATCTAGAACACAGCAGTGCTACACATTTTAAGGATAAAAACTCATATCTCAGGACCTCGGAACCGATTATTCATTAGTACCCTTTAGATTCGAAAAACTTGACCATGGGGTCTCAATGCACTTTCTTTTTACAAAATCATATTCAGAAAATTGACAGACCGTCTGAAAAACCCAAAGATAGCAACTACCTCGCCCAATGTATTAGCATAGAAATATGTAACGATAGTAGCAGTAAGTAAGCTTCTTGTAAAAAAGTTGGTAGTACTGTCAACTTACCTATTTCTGCCGCCAACCAGTAATGTCAGGATTACTGTGTTCCCGTTTTGAAGGGTAAGGACGCTGGGTGAAATTATAGGCACTTGGGACTTGTCAATTTATGTCCCAGGGTGACGCAGTGGCTGTGCCATCTTTGCTATTTAAAGCTCTGAGTGGCACTGCAGCCGTTATGGATAGGTATGTCGCTTACCACCAGGCAAATGACTTATTCGCCCCGTGCCGGAGTTACGCGTAACGTACATTAAAAAAATATTAAAAA